TCTAACAAAAAGTGAAGTTACAAACATTCGTACTATCAGTGGAAGACGAAACCCGCAGACAACCAAGCGGCAAACAAAAATAAACAGGCGAAAGAAGTGTGGGAATATTCCTTGTTCTAACAAGATGAGGCCACAAACATTCGTATAAAAGTGAAAGACGACGCTCGCTCGACAGACGAATGAAGTGTGTGAATATGATCGCACACCAAGACGACTGCGAAACCTGCGGAAATACAAACAAAAAAACCAGAAGAATGAGAGCGTGAATATTCCTCGTTCTAAAAAATTGAGGCCACAAGCATTTGTGTAAGTGTGGAGGACGACGCTCGATCGCACAACAAACAGACTGCTTAAACAGACGAATGAACTGTGTGAATATTTCTCGTTCTAAAAAATGAGGACACAAACATTCGTATGAGTGTGAAGGACGACGCTCGATGCACACCAAAACAGGCGAATGAAAGTGTGAGCCACAGTTTTGTGATCATGTTCTTGAACGAAGACAGTGCAGTTAGTTCAAGAATGTAATAGAAGCCAAAAGGAAAATCTTTAGAGGTTGCAAGCAGAAACTGATTTTCCCGAAAATATGGCTCTGTATGTGTGCTACAACTTAGTTGGTCTTAGTCAATAACCCCTGTATGCAGTCAGGTTGTAACATTTATTTCTCTGATAGGACTGGATTTCAGGGAGACTGCTCACAGAAGCGTGCGGGATGCGGTATAGGAACCCAGAAACACTTGCTGACAAGTAAGAGATCAAATGACAAGCTGGGCTAGATGATCTGCCACAACGCTGGAAAACCTCGGTGACCTGGAACTAGAACGGCAATTTGGATCAGCAATCAAGACACCTGAAGAATGTAAAATGAATAGAAATTATTTTATACTTTGTTAAGGGAGGTAGGTAAAACCAACGTTTGGTTGCTTCAGTAGCGCTAGCGTAAGCGTTCTTTAAGTTACTTGACTGATCATCCTTGTTAAACTGCAGTTTATGAAGTGTGAACACAGATGTTTCTAGCGTGCGTGAGTATCCCAGGACGCAAGATATTTTTTCTCACACTTGCGCGCGTCCTTTAAACTAGCGTCTCATATAACTTGTAGCTCTTAATTGTTTCTTAGAAATGATAAATTTGTTACTATGTAGAATCTCCTGAGTGCATTTTAAGTGTTTTACGCCATCTTACACAAGCAATCAAAGCTGCGAGGCCTTGAGAGGAACACAGCTGTGGTTAGTCTTGTAACTACAAGATCGCTGTAGGTTTTCATAGAGCTATGGGTAGCCTGCGAACAGGCCCCCGGCGAGTCCGAATTAAGCAGGTTTTAGATCAAACTCTTGGTGATAAAACTTAACTTTGAGAGTTTTAGTGTGCGACATTTGCACTTGTCGACCACTTGTAACAGGTGAAAAGCGCGGGAAACCGTTCAAGAAACCAATTCATTGATGGTGTTGCTTTTGTGTCTGATTGGCCGAGAAAATGACACGTTTGTTCTGACTGGGCGGACCAATTTGTATTTTGNCAGGTTTTAGATCAAACTCTTGGTGATAAAACTTAACTTTGAGAGTTTTAGTGTGCGACATTTGCACTTGTCGACCACTTGTAACAGGTGAAAAGCGCGGGAAACCGTTCAAGAAACCAATTCATTGATGGTGTTGCTTTTGTGTCTGATTGGCCGAGAAAATGACACGTTTGTTCTGACTGGGCGGACCAATTTGTATTTTGAACCAATCACAGAGCTCAGCAGTGTACTGTTAACAGATTATCATGTCGTGAAAATCGTTCTTACTCTTTCATCCTCACGACTGATAGCTTCTATTTTCTCCCTACATTTTCACGACAATTTTCACGACAAGGTTGTGTGAGTAAACGAGCTGATCATCAGAGGAAAGATGAAAGATGTATTGACTTAAACTCATTTCTCCCAAAGAGAATTATAGAAAATTGAGTAAAATAGTAAGGAGAATTAATTTTCTGATCATGTCACCAACTGTCTGCAAGCGTGCAGCAGCTGGTTTGGTCTTGTGAGGAAAACTTCAAGGAACACTTCATTTAAAAAATAAGTGTATTTTTGAATTATTTACTTCTTTGTCACTAGTCTTTGACAATTTCTTTTGCACTGTCAGAAAGGACAAAGTTGTTGAAGAATTGTTTTTTACAACGACGGAGAGCAACAACAGAAAATTGTGATTGTGAAATTCAGGTTACATTTAGCTGTAAGCTGCTGTAGAATTTATTCAGCTATGGGTTGTGTAGCATGGCCACAGATAGTTTGTAGCGGTTATAATAGATACAATATATTAATTATTTTTGGATCCAGTAGTTAACACAAAGTAGCTGGAGGCAGTGGTTTAAAATTTATAAGACGTCTTAGTGTATCTGTTGAACCTCGAGTGTAAATAAGCAAGTTAATGACGCTCTTTGTCAGGGATAACGAAGAATAAGTGTGCAGTTACATTTTGTGATTCAACTATTGTTACTAATAAACGGTAATAATTTTACATGAGACATTTGCTTGTTAAATTTTTTAGGAGTTTCTCACGTTGAACCACTTCCAAGCTTTTCGTACAGTTGTTTTTCTAACTTAACAGGAAAATGGTAACTAGGGTGGATACAGGATTTTGGAGAAGGGGATTCGAGATACAGACGGCCGAGGGCGTTGCCCTTTATGGGGGTCCGAGGGCACCCTGCCCTA